TTCCTCAACCCATTGCAGTCTGGAAACCACCCCAAATGATTTCCTGAAACTGTTTGTTAAAGTCATTAATAAATGTCTCATTTCTGAATCTACTCTTACCTTATTTTACTTGAAAAAGTTGTTATTTCTAATTCCCTCTCTTTGAACACAATTTTCTTGGTTCAATAATACAACATTCTGTCATTGTCTTTGTAGACGCCTCTCTCACTGCCATTTCCCTTAATATTAGGGTCTTAAGGCCAAATCTTATGCCCTTGGCTCTTACCATTCTATACCTTCTACCTGCAGGATATAATTTGTAGGTTTAATTGCTATCCATTTGCTTGTAGCTTCATTTACTACCCCCATGTGGAAGAATCTAACCCAAGTAATAAATCCTCAACTACTGTCTTTCTGATGAGCTTCAGTCAATTCTATATATTTAACTATTCATCTTCTTCACTTGAATGTCCCACAACTATCTGAAAGTACATGTCCAAACTGAACGGATCATCTTTTTCCATGCTACTTTCAGCCAAACTTCATAAATATTTCTCAAAAACCATGAAATTTTTTTTCTGAACACATTTTTCTCATTCAGGCTAACATAAACTAAGTGACTCAGTTATTTAAGATATTTACTACTGAGTTTAAAAGTTATAATTAAGGTAGATATAGGAAACATAATTAAATGGAACCAACAATATACTGCTTTAAATTGTTACAGCTGAATGCACCACAGCTAAAATACTAAATTTCAAAAGCCTAAGTGATAAGAAATAAATATTTTAAGTTAAAGACAGAAAGCATTTCAGTTTTATGTTTATATTCTTAGCTCTAAGCACTGTGAACCACAAAAGAGTTGCTCATCAATTTACTTAATAAATTAATAGGTTTGTGTTTTAATCTTGCAGAAAAGTAAGAAGCAGTATAGGACTGTCACCAAATCATTCTCACACCGTTATGACTCTTCTCTTAGCTTCTGCTATATACTGAATGTCTGGTAAAATAAGGATGTCAAAGCTGTTCCTATTTCTGTCTGATAGAATTACAGATTTCCTTAGAACATGATAATAATAAAGGAATACCAGGCATTAAAATGACCAGCCAAATTAACTTTGTATAAAAACAAACCTCTATTCTACAGCCTTCATTTGCAAAACTGACCACTATTCATAGGGAATTTTTTTTTTTTTACTATCTCAACCCAGCCTCTCACCATAAATGGAAAATTAGTATTTTATACATATGCTAATAAAGAAAGTGTACTCTTTAGCGAAAACAAACCATCTTTTTATTACTCAATAAAGTCATTTCCTCCCTAAGCAGTGAGCATGGGGTAAAATGTTGATAGAAATTGGTAAATTACGTTCAACTTTAAGTAATGCTATAGACCTAGAGCAAAAAGAAGTTAAAATTTACTGCAGTCTCATCCTCATTTTATTGTGAAATATGCAAATATAAAGGATAGTATAAAAAATTTAAGTGCATAATTTAATGAATTATAATAAACCAAACATCTCTTTAGGCACTACCAGGCTACAAAATAGAAGTTTGCCAACAGCCCACCCAATTGCAACACCTTCCCTCCCACTCTGTCTGGATGTTCATGGTAACACTTGCCTTGCCTTTCTTTATAGTTTTACCACTTAAAATGTATCACTAAATAATATAATTCAATTTTGCCTGTTGTGAACTTTATAGAAATGGAATCATAAGTATATATTTATTGACTGTGACTTCTTTCATTCAGTGTTAGGCTTTTAAGGTTTCTTTGTTGTTAGGTATATCTTTCATTCATTTTAATTGTTAATAATCTATTATATGAATATACTTTATTTTTCCATTCTATTGCTAATTCACATATTGAATGCTTACAGTTTTGGCTATTATGAATAAAGATGCTATAGCATTTGTGCATAGATATCCTAATATAGCTAATCATGCCTTTTCTACGGTATATAATTAGGAGTGAATTGGTGGGTCTGAAAAAATATATATCCTTAATTTTACTAAGAAGAAAAACAATGAAAGTAAAAAATAAATTTACCATTTGGTCTTACCAGTTTAACTGTCTCTATTTAAATAAAGAATTTCTTGAATTCTAAAGGTACATTCCATTTAGTATTATATATTTCATATGGAAAGAAATGTATAGTCTGACAAAAAATTCAAAATAAAAGGCAAATGAAGTATTAATGCCTAAAAGAGATTCACAACTATTTGTACTTTTATTCTGATGAAAATATATGTTTTTCTCGTAAACGTGGCAAGAATATACTAACTACATTTAATCTGAATTGTTAGTCAAGCAACAGTGTAACAGAAATAGAATATAATGCTTAGAATTTCATTTTGTGAAATTCCTATTTCTCTTAAAATATTACAAATACTGGAAACGTTGCCCAACATGCAATTAAACAACCATTGTATGGGCTTATACATCGAATGGCTCTTAATACATAGCTTCCACTTTTATATTTATAAAATTTCAAGCATGGGAAGCAGCTTTACACTGAAAACAGTAAATAAAATTGTACTTTCTCTGACCTGGGAACTAGTGCCTGTTCCTCCTGCATAAAAAAAGAAAAAGAAAGAAAAAGAAAAAGAAAAAGAAAAAGGAAAAGAAAAAAGAAAGAAAGAAAGAAAGAAAGAAAGAAAGAAAGAAAGAAAGAAAGAAAGAAGAGAAAGAAAAAGTTCCCATGTGTTGACTGTCATAAAACAAAATCCCTTTTCTTAAATTACATAAGAGTTTTTAGAACCAGTATATGAGAGATTTTTTAGAAAATATGTGTCAAGGTCCTAAAGATGTCAATGAGAGAAGGGTAGATTTAGTCTCTGCTGTCACACAGCTTTGAGGGAAATGCAGAAGAGGAAAGAAACTGAGATATTATGACTGAGTAGAAAAGCACATTACAAAGCGCACTAGATCAAGAAAGACCTGAAGGATGAAAAAGGCATGATGGTGAGGGAAGCACAAGATGTGTTCTAGGAAGAAGAACAAAGGCCCAACACTGGAAAAGGAACTATAGGAGGATCAGTATTTAGTATAAGCAACTTGAATCAGCCAGACATAAGCTGAAATCTCAATTCCCCCAGTGAACAGCTCTGTGCCTTTGGTTAAGTCACTTGCCATTTCTATTTCTCCCTGTAAAATGGGGATAATAAGACTTAAATAATATTTTTGTAAGAATCAGCTAAGTTAATGTTTATAAAGCAAAAATTGCTCCACAAAGGTAGATAGTACTTTTTGTAGCAGAATCAGATGTTTTGGAGTAGGATGGCCATTAATGTGAGGCAGGAATATGGAGAAATAAGCAGTGTAAGTCATCAAGAGCATTTGGCCATATTAACTAATCCAGTCCTTAATGCTAAGAACAAAAGGGAGTGACACCAATGTATCCCAGAAAGTATAATCAGGCTGTAAGATAAATTTTTGGAAGAGAAAAAAAGGCGGAAAAACAAGCGGGGGCCTAAATGAGATTTGCGGCAGCATAGAGTGTATGAACTGAATGTATTTAGAAGATACTGAAACACAGGACATCCATTTCTGGCACTATGACAGATGACTACTGAAACTATTACTCAAAATACCTCAATAATTGTATATGTGTTTCTTTAGGTATATTGTGTGTGTGCACACATTTATTTAATATTTATTAGTTTTCCTTTTTTAGTGTTTATTTATTTTTGAGAGAGACAGAGCATGAGCAGGGGAGGGGCAGAGAAAGAGACAAAGCATCTGAAGCAGGCTCCAGGCTCTGGGCTGTCAAGCAGAGCCTGATGCGGGGCACAGACCCATGTACCAGGATATCATGACCTGAGCTGAAGTCAGACGCTTAACTGACTGAGCCACCCAGGTGCCCCTAAATTAGTTTTCAAGCAGGAAAGGAAAATGCAAATGATCTGGGACCAGAAATGAAGCATGGACATGAATCCAGTGAACTTAGTGACCAATGAAGGTTAAATGCTGCCGCTGGTGTGTCTACTGATCTTGAGTAACCTAGAGCTTAGATTTTAATGGCTGGCACATGGGGGAGACAAAAGACAAAGCCTTGCTCTATATATCCACCCCCCACCAACTTCCATGTGGATCCTGCATTCATAAAGAGCTACTTCAAGAAAAAGGGTAATCTAGAAAATAATACTGTGCAATATTAATATAAGGATTTTTAAGGCAAAAATCCCATTGCTAGAAATGAAAAACGTAATAATATAATAATTTCTTCAATTCATCAGGAAGATGCAATAATTTTAAACTTCTAAATACTTAATAATATAGCTTCAAAATACATGAAGTGAAAATTTGACATCAAAATGAGATACTTCAACAATGTTTACAACTATTATATCAAGATAAAATAATCAGTAAGGGTATAAAAGATTTTAACAACACTATTAGACTAGGTTTTGTTTAACAAATAACACATACGTATAAAACAAATGTTAAGAACTGTGTACACAGCTTCTGTGACAAACTTACTCATTTAGAGCATACGTTGAACATGGTGTTTCACAAAGTCTTGAAAAATGCAGAGTCAATATATACTGATCAAAACTGCTTAATTCTAAATTACTTCATGTCTAAATTGCTAAAATATAGTACATTTAGAAATCAAACCCAAAATATGTTTAAAAATTTTAAGTCATACTTTGGATAAACAACTCATGGGTCAAAGCAAATTTCATAACAAATTAGGAAATATTTACATCTGATCAGTATCAGGAATATTTCAAATCTTGTGGGATACAACCAAAAAAATTGTCACAAGAAAATCTATAGCCTTTAATACTGATCTCAGAATTTTAAAATTTGAAAATTAATTACTTATTCAACTTAAGAAGTTAGAAAAGCATAAAAAATTGAAAAGTACAAAAAGGAAGTAGGAGTAAGGATATAATAAAGTTAATATCAGAAATTAATGAAATATAAAATGAAGTGACTGTATTAACAAAGCTGTAAAAGTTGAACTGTGAGGAAAAAAATAAGATAGAAGTAAATTATCACTGCTTCTGCTTACCTTACCATAGATGTCCTGAAGCTTTCTGTAAAACAAGAAAAATAAATAAGTCTTAGCTATTAGAAAGGAGAAACAAAACTGTCGTAAATAGCAGATGACATGATTATTCATATGAAAAGCTGAAAAGACCAATTATTAGAATGAAAGAGTTTTTAGCAACTTATTATATATAATAAGTATTCCATGTTCAAGAATAGGGAGATTCAATAATGAGATATTATCAATTCTATACAAGCATATTAATACTTTCAACACAAATTTAATGAAAACAACACAATTTTTGATAGGGTATGACAGTTAAAAATATATACATATATATACACATGCATACACATGCATACAGGAAACAGAAAAAACATAGGACATTTCTGGAGCAAAGCAAGGTGGACTTGCTCTACTGGGTATCCAGACTTAGAATAAAGCCACAGATTTCATGGTATGATTTTGGCTCAAACATAGACAATATACCAACAAAAGACAGCCAAGGAGTCAGCCCACCAATGTTTAAAAACATGGTCCAAAATGGGGAAAGTGACACATTATGCAATCAATGGTAATTAAATAATCTGTTTCTAATTGTAAAAAAAAAAAAAAAAAAAGGCTCTTACATCATACCATACACAAACAGCAATCCCAGATGGGTTAAAATCTTAAATGTTAATGAAATATAAAATTTTACAAAAAATTATAGTATATTCCTGCTTTGGGGAATATAAATGGATTTTTTAAATGAGACACAAAATCACTTAATATAAAAAAAAGGACTACCTAATTTACATTAAAATGAACAATTACTGAACAAAAGAAACAACTCTTCTTTTGATTACATACATGTAAGAAAAAGCCACTATTTGTTAGAATAACATTTGCACACTCATAACTGGAAAACAATGCTCATCCACATATATGAGGGACTTCACTATAACATTCACTGAGAAATGGCAAACAACCTAAAGTCAAAATGGACAGGGACTCCTGAGTGGCTCAGTTGGTTAAATGTCCTACTTTTATTTTGGCTCTGGTCATGATCTCACAGTTCATGAGATTGAGCCTTGCATCGGATGCTTGGGATCCTCTCTCCCTCTCTCTCTGCCCCTCCCCTGCTCGTGTGCTCACTCTCTCTCTGTCTCAAAATAAATACATGTAAAAAAAGAAAGAAAAATGGACAAAAATATATACACATACATTTCACAGAAAACAACTGCCAACAATAAAAAAATATACCCACCTACATTATATTTCAGAAAAATTAAAATTAAGCCACATTACACCTACCATATCGAGAAAAATAAATGTCTTCGAAAAGCAAATGTTGGTCAGGATATGTACAATAAGAACTTGAACACTGCAAGGGGGAATTTAAATTTTTAATCTGTACACTGGAAAATAACTTAGCATTAACTTGTAGAGGTGGAAATATGTATGTACTACAATCCATAAATTAAGACTCCTGTCCATGTCATGTGAATGGATAGTATGTGCAATTTCAAAGAAGCATTATAATAAAAGACAAAACACAAATGACCACTATTAAGCAGTTATGCATTTATAAAATGTTATACTATTATATTACACAAATTTCAAGTTGACTACTTCTACATGTGACAAGATGGATAAATCTCAAATCATAGTGGTATGTGAAAACACCAAGTTGTTGAAAGCATACATGAGAACACTATTGTTACAGAGTTCAAAACCAAGCAATGTTAAATATGTTGTTGGAGGATACAGAGAAGAACAAGACAATGATGAACATAACATTTAAAACAGTATCTAACTCTTGGGGAGAAGAACTGGGGTGCTCTACAAACACAAAGTGAAATTCAACAGAAACTAACAGTGACTTTATTTTTTAACTTGAGTGATGGGTTTATGGGTTTAATGTTATGATTATGCTTTATATATCTGTGCTACAAATATACTACACTCATCATTAACATTTTAAATGAAGCTCAAGTTGAAATGCCAGTATTTGTTAATTTGTAAATGGTAAGTAAGAGGAAAGAACAAAGGAGTCCCAGGCTGGTGAACTGAGCCACTGAGTGGATGGTATTGTTTTTTAGTGAGAGGAAGAGGATCAGAACTGGGAAGTGTGAGCAAAAAGAGGGGGAAGAATGTGATGAATTATGTTTTGGACTGTTTAGATTAGTTACCTGCAGTACATCTTAGTGAAATGTTGGAGGTCAATTATGATCTAGGACTTAATATGGAAAGAGAAGTCTGGGCTTTACATAGACAGTTTTGGGGCTCATCTGGCATAAAATATTTGCTCTGAGGTCACAGAAATGAATGAAATTACCTGGGAGGGTGAGGATGGAGGTTGAGTAGTAGAGGAGAAGAGGAGAGGGCTGGTATGTACCTTTACAGATGTCACAAGTTATAAATCCCAGGAAGCTCTAAGGAAAGAAAGGATTAATAAATATAAGCTCATGAACGGAAATTTATGTACAACTAATTATGCCAATCTTCCTTGAGTCCCAGAATACACAGGCAAATGATGAAGAGAAATGTACTGCACAGGATTCTTTACAATTCCTGGTTTTAGACTGGCTGCAAGAAAACCCCAAATAAAGCTCTTCCTCCTTGATGTGGCCTCCTGGCAAAAGATCAGCTCTCAGTAAGTTTTTTAACACCAGAGCCCAGGGGATTCCAAAATGCTCTGCTCTCACTCTTCTGTCTGCCTTAATGAAGCAAACAGTGATAGTGTGAGCCATTTACGGAGAGGCCCAGGTGAGAAGTGCAGAGAGACTACAGGACCTACAGACCTTGGTCATAGAACCACAACAAAATGAGTCCTGTCTAAACTTGAATGAGCTTGGAAGTAGATTAATCCTTCCAGAATAGAACCTAGTCCTGCTGACATCTGAATTGAAATCATATGAGAGCCAGAGAAGAAAGGCAAACTAAGCCATGCCTAAAATCCTGTTCCACAGAAACTGTGAGACGATAAATATGTGTTGTTTAAGGTGCTAAGTTTGTAGTAATTTGTTATGCATCAAGGGAAAGCAAACATAGGGGCGCCTGGGTGGCTCAGTCAGTTGTATGTCCAACCCTTGACTTCAGCACTTACGGTTTGTGGGATGGAGCCTGCATCAGGCTCTGCACTGATAGCATGGAGCCTGCTTGGGATTCTCTCTCACCCTCTCTCTCTCTCTCTGCCCTACCCCTGCTCATGCTGTGTGTGTGTGTGTGTGTGTCTGTGTGTGTGTGTGTGTGTGTGTGTCAAAATAAATAAATAAACATTAAAAAAGCATTTATACTACTGTGTGTGTGTTAACTGTATATATTTATCAAGGCCTATGTGCACAGTGGAGAAAAGAAAAAGAAAAAGATACAGGCATATTTCTGTAGGAAGATTTTTTTTCCCTGAAAGTTTCTAATAGTAATACTATTAGGAAGAATGGCCCCAATGGTCCTAATGGTCCAAGAATGGTCTCATCAAAGAATATATGTATTAAAATAGGAAGTCCCCATTCAGATAAGGTGAATGAGTCAGAAACATCCATTTGTGAATGGACAAAGGAAGAGTGCTAGAACTTTGCCTACATATTGTACCACTTATTCTCTGAGCTTTCTATTTAAACCTTTCGTGTTACTGCTCCTAACTTACATGTCTCTCTTCTAAGACAGGCATTCATAATTTCTAAGGGGCAACAGCCAATGGCAGTGCTCCCCTGGTTGAAGCCCAACTTACAGTGAGTAACATTTCTCTCTAGTTTAAAATGATATAAAGCCTAAATTGGGCTGGTTAGGTAAACAGAAATAGCTGGTTTTCTATGCCTCTGACACCATTGACTGATGATCACTTTTACAAATTGTTTCAAATGTACAACCAAATAATAAAACCCTGGAAAGCTTGGGGAACAAACAAAAGTTATATTAGGAATTCTTAATACTAAATTGCATCTAATATTAATAATAAGTAACTATTCATATCAGGCACAAAAGAATATGAACCTGGACCTCACAAAATCTTAGTAAAAAATTCTCAATGAAACATTGGGCATATTAAATGCCTTTCTTTTTCATGTGTCTTTCATTGATGATACAAAGAACTCACTGAAGGTCAGCCATTCTTTTTGAGGTCTCCATAGTAACTGTGATCTTAGCCACATCTTTGACTTAGAACATCAAAATGTCAAAATCTATATCAAACTCATGAACACCAGAGCAGGGCATTTGGAACCATATTTGATGCAATATAAAAAATATGTGTTTGTTCATGTGTGTTCATATTGTTCCTAGCTCTCTTTTTCTCTCTTCCCTCCTAAGGGATATAACTTGAAAATCTTTCTCATTGCCATGTAGTATTCCATGGTATAGATAAACCACATCTTCTTGATCCATTCGTCTGTTGATGGACACTTAGGCTTTTTCCATGTTTTAGCTATTGTGTAGAGTGCTGCTATGAACATTGGGGTACATGTGCTCCTATGCATCATTTCTGTATCCCTTGGGTAAATTCCTAGCAGTGCTATTGCTGGGTCCTAGGGGAGTTCTATTGTTAGTTTCCTTAGGAACCTCCACACTGTTTTCCAGAGGGGCTGTACCAGTTTACATTCCCACCAACAGTGTAGCAGAGTGCCCGTTTCTCCACATCCTTGCCAGCATCTAGAGTTCTCTGATTGGCTCATTTTAGCCACTCTGACTGGCGTGAGGTGGTATCTCAGTGTGGTTTTGATTTGTATTTCCCTGAGAAAGAATGAAATCTGGCCATGTGTAGCAACATGGATGGACCTTGAGGGTGTTATGCTGAGCGAAATAAGTCAGGCAAAGAAGGACAAATATCATATGTTTGCACGTATAGGAGGATTAGGAGGAACTTGATGGAGGAACAAGGGGGAGAAGAAGGGCGGAAATGGTGGGGGAAAGGGAGAGAGGCAAACCATGAGAGACTCTTGAATGCTGACAAAAACTGAGGACTGATGGATGTGGGGAGGAGGAGGGATGGGCATGGAGGAGGACACTTGTGGGGATGAGCACTGAGTGTTATGTGGAAACTGATTTGACAATAAACTATTTGTA